TTTTTTTAATAGTTAAAAGCAAAACAGATTTTATATTATGTAAAAGAACGATTTTGTTGTTTAGATTTTATTCAATGTTTTTTTATTTTTTTGTTTTTGTAGTGGATTTATATTTAAATACTTTTTTTTTTAATTTTTGATTTTTGCTTTATTTGGATTTCTTGTATAAAATTAATTTAAATGCCCATTTCCAGTTTTCTATTGGATACAGGAAAATAAACACAAGTAGTTAAAAAAAATTAGAGGAGAGTTAGCTACTAGAGCTAGGAGCTCGATTTTTTGTTTCAAACTCAAATTTTCTTTGATGGAAGTTATGATTTTTTAGTGATGCAACACTCAAAATTGGTAATGAAAGGTTGCTAATTAACATTGTTTTACTTAAATGAAAAAACTGAAGAGATCAAATAATTTTTTAGGAAATCAAATTAATAATAATATTTTATTATACATTAAACTTTATGCATTATTTGTGTTTATGCAGTATATTATGTATTTATGCAGTATATTATGTGGCCCTGTATAAGTGGTATCTTTTACATTATGTTTGTGTTATAAAGTTGTATAAGTTATAAGGTTTATTTTAATCAACATTATTGAACTGGATTAGTTTCCAGGCTTCTGGTTTGAAGTAGCAACATAGTAACTACCTTGTAGTTGTGTATTTTAACATCTTCGCTTCCAACAAGGCTGCAAGCAACCACTAATTAGTGTTGGAAGTTACTGGAAGAGAAAAGATGAAGGTTGTAGAGCAAGATAACGATTGACGGATGATTTAAAAGATTGCAAATTATATGAATCAGGAAAACAAGATGAAGGAAGCGAATTCCAAAGAACTGATGTTCAAGGAAAAAAACTAGACGAATAAGAGTTTTTGTAGCACTTAGGAACAGTAACAGAAAAAGGATGACTTAATTGAATGACGAGTAACACGAGAACGAATTTTAGTTGATGGCACAAGAGACACTAGCTCTTTAGAGCAGTGACCATTATAGTATTTGTAGAAAAGAGAAAGAGAAGCAGCATTACTACGATGTGACAGAGGTTGAAGGTTGGCTGCAAGAGCAGGTCCAACTATGTTTACAATATTGAAATGTAAAAAAAAAAAGTTCAGTTTATAAAATATTTTTCCTATATCTGTTCCAAAAAAACATTTTCTTTTATCATATTTTATCATAATAAAGCATTTATTTTGGTGTTTTTTTAATTTTCTTTAGACATGACTTTGATTTAATTTTTATAAATCAGAAACTATTAACGCTTTTGTCTTCTAAACTGTGGGAGCTAACTCTTTGTTAACTTTTATTGTGAGAGCTAACTCTTTGTTAACTTTTATTGTGAGAGCTAACTCTTTGTTAACTTTTACTGTGGGAACTCTTTAAAGAATCATATAATAAATTAAAAAGTTTCCTCGATTTTAAACTATTTTATTCCACCAATCAAACAAGTTCTGTATTTTTTATTATTGAATATAATTTTGGCGTTAATATAGTAATTTAATATTTTATTGTAAAAGTTTGATCATTTTTACAAAAAAGCTAATTATTGAATCAAGTATTTACTTTATTAAATTTTAAATTAAATACTGACTAGCCTTTTTAAATTGAGTATAGTATAGCCTTTTTTTTAGTTGATTGGGTCTTTAATGCTTTAAATAATCTAGAAAATTTAAAACTAATTATTTTTTTACTTTATAATATTTTTTAAAGTTTTTTTAAATTCCATTTACCTTTACCTTATTCATTTATACGGGTGTACCAGAATTCCAGCCAGATTTTTGTGACTTTTTGGTCATTTTGGTTCTGGCCGGAAACACAGTATTTCAGGCAGGAATGCCAGAATTTATTCTTTACCTTTTTTTTTAAACATATGACACAGACTGTGTAAATTAAATCAAAAAATCATTGTCCTACAGGGCAATCAAGAACTATAGGTAAACCAAGGTAAAAAATACAAAATTCTAAACAAATACATTATAATTTTATTTGCAGTAATCAATTATGTAAAGATTTCTAGAAGTTTAGGAATATTGTGGTGCAAAAAGAGTTGCTATCTAGTTTGGGCAACAAAGCTCCTTTTTCGTCAAAAATATTACCTGCCTCTGAGAATAGTCTCATTTTAAATGTTACTTAAATTTTAAATAATTAAAAAGTAAAGGATGCCTAATACAGTAAATATTTCCATTTTAACGTTAATAGAATAAAAGAAAACAAATAATAATTTTGAATATAAGTATTATGAAGGTTAAAACTTTCAATAGATGAAATTATAAGAAAAAATGATGAAATTATAAGAAAAAATGATGAAATTATAAGAATAAAATAATAATAACATTAGAATTAAATGAAACAAGAATCAAATTAATGAAATGGGTTATATATATTTTATAGGTTATAACTATGTATTATATAGCTACGATGTTGAGGTGCAGCTTTTCACTTTCAATCTTCAAGGTAAAAAATTACATAAATATAATTCTTCTTCCAGACAGAATTGCGGACAGAATTTTATTAACAATTCCGGCAAATCCGGTTCCGGCTGGATATCAAATTTTCCAGTCCGGTACTCCCCTATTTTTGTATTTCTTGGCATTTGAAATAAACATGTAAAATTGTTTTAATCTATTAACCAAGACACATTCGATGAAATAATGATATAATTCTTTGATTGAAAACAGTTAAATATGCTTTTGAAGAAACATTAGTTTTTATTATTATTTATTTAAGAAATTATTATTTTATATTTCATTCATTTATATAAGTTTTATTATTTTATTTATTGTTAAATATATTTTTTAATTTATTAATAATCAAATTTTTTGATTTTTTTTTAAATAATTGATTTATATATAATTTGATTCAAATTATAAAAAAAATTTTTTGAAATTGTTTTTCGATTTTCCTTATTTTTATTTCATTAGTTTTCTTTTATTTTAGATGCTTTGGTCTTCTTTTAGCACAAGGAAGAGATGTTGCTGAACAAGAGTTACATCTATTACCAGAGGTTTATTGTTTTTAATATTTTTTTTAAAACAAATTTATTTTTAAATTAAATTAGTAAAAAAGTAAAAAGTAAACTGTAATTTAAAAAGATATCAAATAATAAGTTGTAAAATGATATTAAATGTAATATAGCAAACATAGTAAAATTAATCAAATAAAATAAAAGTAAAAAAAAAATAGTGTAGAAAAAGTTTTGAATATAAAACATTTTTGTAAACCTATTTTTGTTTCACAAATTAATAATTTCTATTTAACCTATTTTAAACCTATTTAATTGGCTAAGATCAATTCATATTAATTTTTACTTTTATATTATTACTCATATTTAGCTGAAAACAGATCATCGCCCTGGTGATAGGGTTATAATATCAGGTCATTGGAACCCAATGTTGGATCAATGGAAAATGCTTAATACTGATACTGGAAAAGGTTTAACTTATTAGTTACTTTATTATTTATTTGTTACTGGTTATTTGAATACTAGTTGTTTGAATCACAAAATCAAAAAAATTGAGAAAAAAAATTATTTTTTTGTTATAGTTTTTTGTTGTTATATAGCATGCTTTCACAACTTTTTTTTAACAAATTTTTTTGTTATACAATCTATATATATATATATACTAAACATGTTATGAAACTTGGTAATTGATGCTGACTCCTTTTCGTGTTGACTCCTTTTCGTGCTAATTTCTTTTGCCTTCAAATTAAGCTTTTAGAGATTTTATGGATTTTGCAATATGGCATGGAACACCATCTTGCAAAAAAAAAAAAAAAAAAAAAAATTGTTTGTTATTTTTCTCTGCTAATTCCAAAAATATAAAAAAAATTTTGTATCATTGACTGTTTTAAAATTGTAGCGTTTTTAGCCTCAACTATAGACTGAGTGCCTATACATTATAAGTGCCTCATAAGACATGAAGGAAGGTTTTTAGTGTGCTTCTCTTGCAGACTAATTTTTGGATAAGTAAAGAAAAGTAGTGGGTTAAAAGAAAGATATTAATATGTATACAATAATAATTGTAGACAGAAAAATACGTCTTAATAGATACTTTAAATACAAGGTTTTCTGTTTCCGCGTCATAAATTTTTTATAAAACAGATAAAAAGACGTTTTACATGCTTGTTAACAAATACGCATGTAAAGTTTGTACTCAAGGCAAAATAATTTGTTTTAAAAATATATACATATATACACACAAGTACTAATATATAGTTTTGTACTATATTTTGTATTAAATATTCTTTTTTTGAATACAGATAACCGTATCTATATGACAGTTGCTGCTGATATTGTTTTGGAGAATTTGCAGGAACCAATACGAATATTAAAAGAAGTCAAAGTAAGAGTGTTTAATACAAATGAAAAATTTTGGAATCCATCTAAACCTAAGATACAAGATGAATATCAGTTGCAAGTTTTCGAGGTTTTTATTTTATGTTTTAATTTTTTTTGTTAATTTAAATTTGGTATTTGTTATTTTTTTTAAACAGAAAAACTGTTTTTGTTTTTTTCCTTTTTTTATCTTCATTCATATGCTTTACTTTTTTGCTAGTTACTTGTAGCTTGTTGTCTTTAGTATATACATTTTTAAAATTACAATGTTCACAACATTTCTAAATGTACAAATAACTACTAACAAGAAGCAGCATAAGGTTAGAATTAAGCAAAGGTCAAAAATAACTTTAAAAAAGAAACTAGCTGTAAATGAAACTTAGAAAATTTCAATTCCTGTTTAATTAAATCCCCATATTACTCAAACCTTTTTTCTTTCATGAGGTGGTGTTATAGACCTTATGCCTGAGGTCATTGTAAACACCATTGACTTAAGGTAAAATAAGCAATATGATTAATAAAATTAAAAAAAAAATAGCAGAGCTTCATCAGGGAAGAAGCTTGAGAACAGTTTTTTAGCCACAAAATACCAAAATATACTAGTTAATATTAAAATAATGGTAGCACTAAATTTTACAATATCAAAATATACCTAAAATGTAATTTCCATGTTCAGTTTACATATATACTTTTGATATGTTAAAAAGTATTTTATTTACTAAAGTTTTTAAACTATCTCTTTATTCTTATTAAATTAATATGTCAATGTTTATAAAATTAAGGCATATAATGTCAATAATTTATGTTAATTTATACAAATTAATGACAATAAATTATGATATGTAAAACATGTAATATGTATGGTATGTAATGACCTTTTCAGGTTCTGGTATATCAAAATTTAGAGCTGGGTTTCAGACTGGCACTGGAAATTCAAGATATGGGCTTACTAGTGTAAAATATAATGTTTTCACAATGTCAGAATTTAAGTAGAAATTATTTTTATTATATTTTTGATAGCAACTGCTGATATTGCTTGCATATACCATTTTGAATCAGCAAATTATAATATACCTAAATTGTTTTCAAAATTAATTTCATTAATTTCAAAACTTCCATCCGTGTCATTAATAGTATATTTTTAGTTATATTTATTTTTATCTTTAGCACTAATGTACAAGATTTTACATTTCTTGAGTTTCATTACCCATATGCTGCACCAGTTAATTGCTTTATTAACATCAGTTTGAAGTTGAGTTGGTTAAAAAATCTTGCTCTTATCATTGATAACTTAAATTAATTTGCTGTCGTCAGCATATATGTCGTCAGTTTGCATTCTGAAGTTGTTAACTCATTAAGTAAATCGAAAATATGTAATAGAAAGAAGTGGTGTTAAGTTATTTTTTTTAAAGTTATAAGGGTTCTCCTATGCGATGCTCTGTGAGAAGACCTATCGGTCTTATCACAGAGCATCGCAGAAAAGCATTTAATCAGGAAGTTTATGCAACCTTTCTTATTAATGTCACTTATTGGGCTAAAGCCGGTATTGAACCATAAATCTCTTGGTTCTGAGCCAGACTCTAACCACTGCACTGCTGCTGCTCAATAGTTTTTGTCGATAAATTAATGTTTATTTTTTCAGTTAATTCATTTTTTTAATTTAATATATTGGATTTGTATACCAAACCTTCAAATAATTTGTTATTGGTAATTGCAAATATGTTAGAATTGTGTTTTGTTGGCATTTTTTAACTCTAAGCATCTTTCATCTTTAACAATAAATAGAAAAAGCAAAATATTACTTCCTCAAAGCTGTTTAAACTACTTTGTTTTTTTATCTGTTTTGATTTGCTTTGATTTTTCTACATGCTATATATTTTTTGTTATTCTTATCAAAAATATAATTAAAACTATTCTTATTCAAGAAAAGTAAAGCTTAGTCTGTTTTGCGTGGATTAAACTTGTACAAGTTTATTTCAATGTTACAAAAAACATTTTTTTATTAAATTTTATTGTATTTTTTATTGGGAAGTATTATTAAATTTGATTTTTCAGTCGTTTTTATGTTTTATAGTCTAGTTTTATTTGATGTGTATATATATATATATATATATATATATATATATATATATATACATACATACATACATACATACATACATACATACATACATACATACATACATACATACATACATACAATTTTAAGAATCTGCAAGAAATTTTCTTGCAGATTCTTAAAACTGCTTTGAACTCTGTTATTTTTCTCTGTAAAGTGAAACAATATACTATTGATAGTAACTTAGGAGATGGTTCTTCAATCCTATTGTTAAGCAACAGTTGTATTAAAACTAAAGTTAGCCATTAAACTGAAAAACATGACCAACTAGTCCAGTTTTCTTTTGCAATAAAGTTTTCAAAGTTAAAAATTTTTGAGGTGCCCACACTCATGGTACTTATAAAATTTATGATGGTCTGTATTTATACCAAACAGAAATACCTTGTTGTATAAATTTCATATTGAATAATTAGACACCTTATAATTAGACACCTTTAGAATAATTAGACACCTTTATTATTATAGATAATGCTCTGATTGAATACATTAAAATATTTTGAACAATACTTCTTTAGTGCTTTTCTGTCGTGATTTAAAATGTTTTATAATCCAGTTCTGCATAAAATAATACTTATCTGTTTATAAAAATATTTTTTTATAAAGTTTAATGTTTTTATTTGATTACTTTTAAGGAAGTCCAAAGTGATAAAAGGTCAAAAATTAGAAAAGAAGGCTTTAGAAAAGAAGAAGTTAAAAGCTTAATTAAAAATTGTGAAAAAAAAAAGCCTAAATTTTTGTTCAAAAAAATGTTGAAAAGATCGATTTTAGAAAAAAAAAGAGAATTATGAAGCATCAGCTCCAAACTTTGACTACAGCAATATTGATTATGGATGGTATCACATCTTTTGCACAAAAAGTGAACATTATTTCATTTTTGTAAATAAAGCAGGGACTTCGGTGACCATTCTAATCATGCTGTTAATTGACATTAACAACATGATTAGGATGGTCACCAAAGTGACCTTGACAATGTCAACTACACATTACCAGAATTCTATCAAAGCAGCTTACAAAGAACGAGGCAAAAAGCGAACTAATGCATAAATGCAAAATGCAAGGTTGTTGTTGGAGTTTTTTAAAGTCAGCACTTCCCATTATCTAATCAAAAGTTTTTTTTGTCACTTGCTTTTATTACAAAATATTAAGTGCGTATACACATTTTCCAGAACTTGGTTCAGCTTATCTGTGAGTGTGGTGGCAAGGGAATCCTGACCCATTTACTCACTGCCCCCAAAAATGCCTATTTATCGTTTTTATTTTTCCAAGAGTATGTTTTAATAATAAATAATTATCTGAAGCTGTCTTAGTTGACATCATTACCCAGTGGGTATTTCACCTTTTTCTATCACAAATCTTAAGGTATCAACTCCACTGTACAGTTGTTTAAGATTTCTTTGAACAAAATGATCAGTAAGCATTTTATTGGTTTTTGACCAATGAATAAATTGGTAGCAACATGGAGCGAAGCAAGCATCATAAAAGTGCTGATTGAATTCTTTCAATATATTTAAGTTCTGATTGCCAACTGTTGCTTTTCCTGTATGGACAACACTAATGATTACAAAGTTCCAGGAAAGATATTGGATCAAAATGTCTTTTGTAACATGGTTTTTCAATATGTATTTATTTTTGAGTTATTAAGGTGCTCCAAGAAGACCTAATGTCCAAGAAGACCAAGTCTTGAGCACAGCGTAAGAACAAGACAGGCAGCCCATGAAAGTGCATACAAGGCTTTCTATGATGAATATCAACAATTTTTTAGGTACTCTCTTAATCAGCTTGAATGAAAGATGTGAATCTGAAGCCATGGGTTTATTTTCTCTTTTTCTTTATGTCTCAAAAGATTTTTTGAAAGCATTTTTTACACTTCATTATGTGTTCTCAGCTATATCTCCCCTAAATATTATATATCCACCATATATATTATATCTTATTAAAATTTACTTGCATTTGTACTTTTCAGATGCAAAAACTCATGTTGGCACTTCTAAATCATTTCTTAAAAAACTTCTTACTGGGATCTGCCTTTTGAGATTTTGTTATAAAGAAATTGTTTAAAGTTGTTACACCTGTTAATAATAAATCCATTTAATGCTACTTGCGAACTTTTTTCTAAAATGAAACTTCTGAAAACCTGTCTGCACAACCAACTTGAGAAAATAATAATTGAAGATCTTCTGCCTCTGAAACACTAAAAGAAGGATTTTCAGACAGTGTATTTAATTATTTTGTGGATGCACTAAAAAATGAAATAACCTTTTTTTTTTTAATAGAAAAGTGAAAAAATATTGTATTTAGACATAAATCTATAGAAAACAAGTAGTTCCACAAATACAAAATTTAAGCAAATGTTTTATAAGAAATAAGGATGCACATACAACTTTAATTAATAAAACCTTCAAAATAAGCAAAACAAATATTGATTACAGCAATTGTTTTAAGTTTTCAAGCATAATCTGTACCCAACTTGTTTAATAGAAAATAAGACAAGATCTTTTTTTAACTGTCTGCATTTATAATGTGAATAACTTTTAAATTATTTTCAAAATCAGAATTGATTTATATGAAATTAGACTAAAATAAGAAATTAAGTATATAGGTAGAGAACTTACATAAAAGAAAGTATGCATGTAGGTGGAAAAACCCATATCTCATAAGGGGTATGAATAAATAAGTAAATTATGTTAAAATGACCCTCACCATTTAGTTCATTTTACCAAAAATTTGTATCTATACAATAAAAAACAATGAAAAAAAAGTAAAATTGTTTACTTCCAAAACTAAAGCAACTTAAAAAAACTCAAAACATTACTAATGATGGCTCTTACTTTTTTTTTACTTACACGAGTAAATTAATTTTTATGAAAAAGTAAATTAAATAAGTAATTTTAAATGTTTAATGTAAATTTACAATGTCGTGTAAGTAGTTAATTTTTTTGAAACAACTTTTACTTTATAATGTAAGTTTTTTT